CCTCTCCTGTCCCAGGCGAAGTTCCGCTGACACCTTCCCTGGCCCGGGCAAGGAGCTCGTACGGCCACCGGGGAACTCGGGTAGTTCGGTCGGTCTCTCTTCCCCCCGGGCAGACAGGGAGGAAAGCATCAGGTGGGAACGGGAGGGTTAAACACGCCGACAAGGAACTCGGTATCTGAGTGCTGGACTTCAGAGTACATCTCTTGTTTCTTTCCCCGCTTCGCTACCAAAAGAGGAGTTACAGTTACGGCACGGGCAAACCCCAAACAAAATCGTTCTTTTGTTCTGTTGAGCTGTATGCTGAGGTATTGTTAGTTTTGGAAGCAGCTTGCTGGCTCACGTCTGAGCAGAGCAGGGCCACTTGTGTGTGTATCGAGATCTCCTAGGGGTGAGGAAATCCGAGAGGCGGAGTTCCCCAGGACCTTCACAGGATTTCAAGTTTAAACGAAACAAGGGGTTAAAAAAAATTAGTTGTGGAAGAAGATAACCACATCAGCCTCATTCCACTGAAAAATTACTTAAAACTGATTGTAAGTGATAATTATGCATTGAAAACAACAACAAACCAACCCAAAACAAACATAAAGCTCCTTTCCCACCCCCCCCCCACCCACAAAACAAAACACACATTTTTAAGGCATTAGAAAAACACAGGAAAGGAAGATCAAAAACATACAGATTTTAGAGCTAGATATGAGGAGGGATAAGAAACAGCAAGAAATTTGGTAAATCAATGTTTTTATTTTATAGAAAGTAGTTTGATCAGTGTGCTGAACCTGCCGTTAGAGGTGGGTTGGCTATTTTTAGTAAAAATAAGTATTTGCAAAAATTACCTTGGAGAACATACTGTCTCCACGCTTATTTCCTTTTAATCACTGTTGCTTTTTCTCACACTTATTGCAACTGTCTAACACTGGGTGCTCTTCAGAGGAAGGGAGTAGTACCTAATGTAGGATATTTCAACAGTTTATATCCTGAAACTGGCAGCAAGGTTCATAAAATGCAGTAGAACATGTATAAGCTCACCTTATGCCACAGCAGCATGGTACAAACTCTGCACCTAGTCCACTCTCCCATCTTTCTTCATAAACGTTCTGCAACATCAGCTGTCATGTGAGAATTTTATCTTTAAAAGTCACACAGAAAGCCAGTTTAAGTACCCAGATGGCCAGAGTTTTAACTCTCACAAGTTACTAAAGTGACATTAAGGAACTTGGATTACACATCTGTTTGAGGTAACTGAATCAATTAGCAACACAAGAATGACACACTCTGACTGCATTATGTATTGCTACATAGACAAACACCAGTCACAACTGTTAGTGTATGATACTTAAAAGGGACATTATCAACTGAATGCTATTTTCTTTTGACATAGAATTTTTGTTGATCAAGCATGTAAAAATGCAAACCTTAAGTTCAATTTGTGCACATGGCTACTTCAAGCACAGAACCCTGGGTAATCTCTATCACCCTTCAGTTTCAGTAACTAGCATAGCAACAGGGAGTATGAATTAACTGCTTAGGGACAAAAAAAAAAATCAGTGGAAGTTTGTGAAAGGCAACAACTGTTAAGTTTTGAGTTCAGTTCTTCCTCAATGACTAGATTTAAAGTTGAGAGTGTCCCTTTTAAAGTTTCAAATACAAGAGAAGTTAACTCATTTTTATTCAATCATTATAAGAAAGCTACAAATAATTTTACTTACAAATATTGTTAAACATCAATGAACATTATACAAGCAAACATCTGATTTGTAAATGAAGTAGCAGCAACATGGAATTCTAGAAGGTTGAGTTTCTGCAGTATTTATTGGGATGATTATGAAGGTCTGGCAAATACACTGATTTTACATAATTTAGTTTTGAGAGTAGCTTACAGTAACTATAAACATTATTGAAAATGCCTGTTCACAGTCAGTACTGTGCTGGTATAAGCATACGTTTGCCAGGGTTATTCATAGTGCATCTTTACTCAGAAAAATGACAACATTGTATGTCTTGGCAAATAACATTGCATCTGCTCAGTTTGCAGATGGTAAGACAGCTCTACAATAAACTGAGCTTGAAATATTAAGCTAATGAGATAAAAGTATTTAAGGATAAAACATCAAGGACATAATTATATAATGTTGCCATGATTTCTTCACATTTTCCTCTTCTGAATATAACTATGTTAGTTCAGTGGATGCATAAAACTAACGCATGTAATATAAGCAGTGGCCTTCCAGTACCTGAAGAGGAACTACATGAGAGCTGGGAAGGGGCTTTTTATAAGGGCATATAGTGCTAGGACAAGGTGAAATGGCTTTAAATGGGGAGGGGGTAAATTTAGGTTAGACAGTATGAAGAAATTCTTCACTATGAGGGTGCTGAGACACTGGCACAAGGACTTCTAGCTGTTCCCTCCCTAGAAGTGTTCAAAGCCAGGTTGGATGGGACTTAGACCAGCTTGCTCAAAGTGGGAGGTTTCCCTGCCCATTCAGGGGGGTTGGAACTAGATGATCTTTCAAGGTCCATTCCAACCCAACCCATTCCATTCTATGATTCTATGAAAGTCAGGGTTTCAGCTGATTCTCAAGGACTGTGCTTGCTGTTAGCTGTTGTTTTTCTTCTCTCATAAGAATAAGGAATATTAGAAACTTGGCCACTGAGCAGGTATGACATATGCATTGGGTATTTTGTGAGGTGCTGTTTCATTTAGTCAGTCACTTTTCTGATCCATCACTGTACTTAAACTGTTTTGGTATCAGTTTTGATTTCAGTCTATAAGTGTTGTGGAAGAACAATTAAAACTGAATCACTGAACAGCTGTACCACTTTGAAATCCTGTCATGTTTCTTCATGGCAAACTATTCACATTCTTTTTATTGCACAATTTGAAAATTCAGGTTATGTGCATAAAAACCTTCATAGTATTTGCACTGCAACTTGCAAAACATACATTTAAAATGACCATAATACATTTTACAAAATCTTTTTAAACTATTTTATATTCTTAAGACAAAAGCATCCTGAGAATGTTACAAAGTTCATTTTACAAGCCCTTCATTTCTGCTAAGCTTTATTTATCCCCATAGTTCCTAATGTGACAAGTTTATTTTACAGTTAGTATCTTGGTGCTATATTTCACAAAATATCTTTTAGCAAAAACTACACCATAGGCATTCAAGTAACCCAGCCTCATATCTAATTTACAAATTAAATCTTTGTCAAGCTCTCAAGTCAGGAAAAGTAAACCAAAACAACTTACAGAAACAGTTTTTAGCTGACAAAAAAAAAAAATGTAAAGGCTTTGTGCATTAATAATTTGGTCAAACATTTAAGTTATGCAGTTTAATATTTTGGCAAAAAAAATCCATCTACCCTTTTCAATTTGTTTTCTTTCATTTTACACCAGATGTAAACATACAGTACAAAGACTGACAAAATTAAACTACTTTGCTGTTTAACTTTTTTTCCTTTTTCCTTTTTTTAAAGTACTTAGGAAAAGCAGACAAGCAAGAATGTAAGTGCTAAGAAGGAACTGAGTATCTTTGGGCTAAATAAAGGTCTTACTGAAAAAAATGTAAAAATAAATTAGGTTGTTTTTTTCCTCTACAGACACATAAATAAATAGTTTTTGAAGAAATTCTAGTGCCATATCCTAAAGCAATATCTTCCTTTATCTTTTTGATCAAGACTAAAATTTCACACATAATCTTGACTATTTTACTAGGAAGATATCACTTAATATTTACATATTTTTGTAAAGGGGGTGTTCAGGGTTAAAAATATATTTCTTTTTAAAAGGTAAGCCTGCCATCCTGATGGCAGTGATTCAAGCTATAGAACAGAAGACAAGTTACAGAACATCCTTCAGTTTCTTATACCCTAGATCAGAGGAAGGAGATCAGGCAACAAAGATAAACAGCCTGGATTCCAGGAATGGAGACAGACAGGGCCTCACATGGCCAGGAGTATCTACTCATACAGGCTTTTTTTCTTCTACACAAAGGGGTAAATTTTTATTGTCAGCTGACTAAACAAGTTGAGAACAGAGAAAGTTATAGTTGCAATTGTGAAAGAGGATCATTATCCAAGGTTTCCATCTGGATGGACCTGCTATTAGAAGGCTGCCAGGTGCTGAATGTAAGCAGAGGCCATGCCCAGATAGTACACTCCAGGTGGGAATGTAACTACCTCAAAAGAAAGAGTAAACCACTACAGCAACATCTTAGTAATATTGTAAGTAGTTAATTCAGAGTAATGTATAGCTTTTGTTTTAGGCAACGATCAAAATCTGAAGGACCTTGTTAATCTTTAAGGCATCAGTGCACCAAGGACTAGAAGCTTCAGGTAATAAATATAAAGGGGGAAAGAAAAAAAAATCAAAACCCGCATCTTTCTGGCACAAGCTATCATTGTGTATCTGCTTTGTTGGCTAGTATCAGGAAAAATAGTTTCAGGGATGGCAGAACAGGAATGTTGTTATACACTGTGCTAAGAAAAACATTAGATCATAAATTTCAAATCATTTTTTAACACATCATTTAAAGGGCTGAATCTATCAGGCAAGATTCTCATCTTTACTGTTCCATCAGCACCACAGGAGAATATGTGATTTGCTGGTCCTGTCTCAATTTGCATGACTCCTGTCCCAATGTTTCTGAAGAGAGACTGTCGAGCGTGTTCATTGATGAAAGTGTGAAGAAGACTAAATGTAGACAGACTCCATACCTGAAAAAGCATCAAAACATCAAATCTGTTATAATTACCATTGTTTTAAAATTCACTAGTAATGGAAAAACTGGATTACATTTTTCAGTAATTTTTCTGACACTAACTGTAAAAGAAAAGATATGTAGCAATCTGTAATGACAGAGTTATAGACTCTTAATATTCATTTTCTATAATAAGGAATATATACAGGGACTAACTAAAGGTAAGACTAACTAGAATCAGGACTGTAAAGTAAGACTAATATTTCCTAATTATGTAGAAAATGTGAAAGTCAGGGTTGAGAACAAATAAAAAATGTGTGACATAACTGATTATTCCACAATTAGGCAAGATTCTTTTTCAATTTACACATCATCATCCTTATCTCTGCTCTCTCCCATTCAATTAATACCTTTATGTTGCCTTCAGCAGATCCTGTGACAAAATACTCTTCTGTAGGATCAACAGCAATTGCTTTGACTGGAGAATCATGACTCTGGAGTAACTGTTGCTGTTGTTTTTGGCGAAGATCAATTATACATGTAAAGCCTTTTCTGCCTCCTGATATTAAGAGCTGATGTTTTGGAGCATATGCTAGCACAGTTGCTCCACTATCATGACAGATAAAAGCTGAAAGCCAAAGCAAAGTAATTTAAATAAACACACAGCATTAACTTCAATTTCACACTAACTTTAATTTCCATATGTGTCTAATGATTCAAGACAGTAGTGACTTTGATGCCGCAACCCAGCTGACTGCAACCAGTCCATGTATTGCAGTATCTTATACATACAAGCCCAAGTTCACATCAGGCATCATGAAGTTACAGTATTCTTAAGTAGTTACAAGCTGTATATATATAAAAAAAATCATATCCATTTTCCTGACCTTGTGTAATCGTAAGCTATTAAACCTTGAACAGAAACAGATTATTTTCTAACTCTCTCATATTTGTTATTTTAAGGCATATGCTTCCTGTAAGAAGTGTCCTCCTAAATTACTTCACCAAGTTATCTTGTAACTTTTGACTACTTAGGTTACTTTTAATTTACTACTTTTCACATTCATTTGATTATGTCTACGCCTCCCAAATGAGTGGAGTAAGTGTATGAAGATTACAATTACCAGGACAAAGCTCAGTATGTCTGAGACTAGACACTATGAATCCTAACACGCGGCGTGCAGTACATTGTACTTGTAGTTCAAAGGGTTCTCTACATTTGCATGCAGAAATTGCATGAGTATCACACCTACATTTAAGCCTTCACCATACTTCAATTACAAGGAGTTCAAAGCTCCCTCTGAGCCTAATTCTTTATTTCAGACACTGAAATGCATTTACTTCCTCCTGCAACAAAATATTAGTAATAAAATTAATGAAACCCCACTGTTTACTACATCTCTAAAAGCATACTTCTAGGAATAATTCTTTTAAAGAATTTTGTAATACTGTATGTAGGTATGTATACATGCACACACAGAAAGCATTCAAAACATTCTACGGTGCTTGGTATAAAAAGTGCCACAGAACTAGACAACCTTTGAAAGCAAAAATGCACTACTTTGCAAATACAGCAACTCTGAAAATTACTATATGAGATCTTAGTTGTAAATCTGCTTGTTCAAGATACTCATAAGGAATTAATTAATATTTTCTAGAAAATTTGGTGTATTTACTCATATGCATACTTTCAGGGAATTGTTCTACAATCATGAGCTTTTCTGAGGACAGGATTTTTCACAGAGGCAATGAAATACTTAACAGTTCAGACAAAGCATGACCTTCATATTCTCCAAACAGAAAAATTATCTGCAGGTCCCCAGTGCCATCTTTATAGTACTGTGATTTGGTGTAAAACCTAATTGATAAATTTTGAGTGGGGCCTTTCTGATTTCTGAGTACAGACACAGCCATAGGTATTTTGAACTGAAGGATGCAGACACGTATCTTGCAAAACTGTATCTCATAACAATGCTAAAACTTGTAGTTTTGAAAGTGTTACAGCTATTGTCTTGTCAACATGCTAGTCACTGCAAGCCAGAGTTGCTCAGAATCTTTTAAAAAGGAACACAAATTACAGGTGCCTGGCTGTCAGGGGCTGCACTTGTGGTGCAAAGATAGGAGGTATGCCAAGGAAGGTACTCATGTTCATGAAACCAATCTTTTAGGCAGAGTACTAAATGATTTCTCAATAATGTGTTTATATTTCCACTGGTGCACTCATCCAGGAGAGTATAAAGTATTTTACTGCTAATATTAAAATATTAAAATATATATAAATATATATTAAATAATAAATATATATTAAAATAACTTTTCCATAAAGACAGATACAGACAAATGTGGTTTTTACCATTATCAAATATGTTGCTGTTTTTATTTTACTTACCATGCACCAAGCTATTTGTAGGTGAAACCAAAGTATCCCAAAGACAAATATTTCTGTAGAAAAAAATGTTTAAATCAATGACAAATAGTCATATGTATTTTGAACACTTGAAAAGTCATCTAAACCTTAAAAATTGGTTCAGGCTTAAAATCACTGTAAACAGACTTTGAATTACTACTTTTGAGAAGACATCAAATTACATTCATAGTTATACATACCCTGGAAGAACATGCCCTCTACACAATCATCTTATGACTCGTTATTCTCAAAAAGGATTCACATCAAGGTTACAATCTTCTGTAGCTGAATTCAGCTAAATGTTCACAGTTTTTGTTACTTCTTGATCAAAGCTTATTTTAAAAAGCATGAAATTAAGAGCTATGCACAAGCCCCTACATCTATAAAAATAATTTAAGACAGGCTCCTATGAATAGGACAGAATATTTCAGTTGGACGGGACCTACAACAATAATCTAGGACAACTGCCATACCCCTTCTGAGCTGACTAAAAGTTAAATTATTAAGGGCACTGTCCAAATGCATCTTAGGTTTGGGGCACTGACAACCTCACTAGGAAGCCTGGTTCCATTGTTTGACCATGCTCAAACAAGTTTCTTAATGTCCAGTCTAAACATGCCCTGAATCATTCCAACACCTCCTGTCACTGGACCCCAGGGAGAAGACCTCAGCATCTCCCTCTGCACTTCCTCTCCTCATTCAGAGAACAGACAGAGGATTTGAGCTTCCATCGTAAGATATATATATTTTATCTTCCAACTTAGATACAACTTAACTGCAAAAGTTGCTTATTTTGCCCTGCCACTGAGAAAGAAAGAGAGAATAAGCATAGATGTTGCTGTTACACTACTTGAGGAGAATTATAAAGAAAAAAAGAGGGGAAGGAAACAGAGAAACCATGGCACCACTTTTTTCATGCACTATCACAGCAGTTCTCACCTGTTGTCGGAAGACAATCCTGCTGTGGCTATCAAAGATGATGAACTGATGAAAACAAAGTCATTGGCTGTTTTGTTATGACACTGCCACATCTGAAAAATTGTGGTTTAGAAATTATTAATTAACAAAGAAATTTTGTGTAAGCCTGAAAACTTAAAATGTCCTTGAGAAAGTAAGCTATTTCAAAACACTTTAAAGAACATAGGATATAAAGGTATGTGTATGTCTTCTGATACTCTTTATTTTTCATAGACACATTTTTCAGTCCTGTATTATTGACATCCAATTAACAATTGACAATTATTAACAAGTCTCAAAGCATGAAAGTTATTTCAGATCAAACATTGCATTTTCTATTCTCTAACTTAGTATGATTAGGATTTAAGAACTTCTCTGGCACTCAGACCACAGGATGGCAATAATATATTAACAAATCTTGATTAACACAGGTTGTCAGCATAATTTCTACCGTCTCCACACTCCTCCAAAGGGGGAAAGAAATTAGAAAGTAAAAAAGTTTACAGAAGGAAATTTATTTTTCAGCTTACCAAATATGGTTTAGGTGAAGTTCCAGTAAGTGGGCAACATTTCCAATTTGTTTGATATAAACTTATATATCCATCAGCATCAACAATTCCAAACTGAAAAAAGGTATATTACTTGTAAATAAATATGTAGGCATTATAGGGAAATTATTCACAGTTCAGAGAAACCACTTTTGGATTTCAGGAATATGTTATTTCTGCTAATTTACAATTACATGGAGGAGATGGGGGGGAAGAGTATAGGATAAGTCAGAAGCACCCTGTCAGTTACCTTATTTCCTTGGTAATTGAATCTCATTCGAGTTACCCTTGAGTTGCCACCAGATCGAAAACATGTGATTTGCTGTGCATGACCCCATTCAAACATTCTTACACTACCATCTTGAGCACCTGTCAGGTCTGTAACAGAAAATATTTACATGACTTTTATCACGTGTTTTAGCAGTTCGAGCAGGAAGGTTCCTTCCAAAATTTTAAAAGAGATCTCACACAAGCTCACAATATCCTGAAAATAACTAACAGCACAATGTGTGCCCTAGTACCTGGCATACCATGAGTACTATATACCACTAAAACTTAAACCTGTGCTATTCAAACTTTATTGAACTGTACTTACTTAAGAACTGTACTTAGATGGTACTGAAATATCAAGCAACTTACTTGAAGATAATAATGTGTCTTTTTCCTACTGTCTTTCATGCAAGTCACAAAAAACCAGAAATACAGTACTTTTTCCTATTCAAAATATCACTGTTTCTAAAGGCTATTCTATATCCCCCAGTATTTTTTATTTTTTTTAAATGAAAAACAGTTTCAGTAATATAGGCAAAATAAGCAGCATGTAATAGATTGCTGTGCTGTGACAAAATAACACCATACTAAGAAAGAGGACCAATAAGTAACTATATTATCTTTGAATAATTTATTTCTTTTTTAACAAAACTTAGCTTACAATATGGTAATGTTGGATGAGAAGCCATTCTTCTGACGTTATTAATAGCCTTCTTGAGCATCTGTTCAATATACAAAATAACAGAAAATAATTAAACAATACTACTGAGCAAAAAGTTACATCAGTCAATGCAAAGAGTTGTTTCCCATCAAAATTCCTCCTGAAAGCAAGTACTGGGTTTAGAAATTCAGACAGAAGTCAATTTCTTCCAAGAGTAGTGTAGATGTTAATACTTCTGAAGTTTTATACATCTAGGTAAATATTAACTTTTTGCTTCAGAGATTTATGGATCCAAATATAAACACTCTTTAGACTGCAGTCTTACCTCTTTTCTTGCCAATTCCTTTCTGATTCCATTAAATTTATTGGAATATTCCTGAATATTGTAAGATAAGCAAGAGAGAGGCAGAAGCATGTAAAGAAAGAGGTAAACAAACTTTAACAGAAGTAAAAAAAAGGAAGAAATATATTTATATTCAAGTTTAGTTAATTTATTGTCATTGATTGAAAAGTGACTATTTGTGGCCATCCAGAATAAGCAATCTACCCAGCGGCTGTTAAATAAAAAAAATCTTCAAAAAAGTGTTCATAATTTTGCAAATAAAGATCCAATGGATTTCCAATAGCACTTTTGCTCCTAAATTCCGAACTTTCATCAAGGTTCATTACCAAGAATGCTGTTTTTTTCAGTTGGCTAATTGCTAACTGGGAAGAGTTCAATATATGAAGAGGACTGGAGACATTAGGCAAAAAAGTTAAAAAAATAAATCTAATTAAATCGTAAGTCTAACCCATAACAGGAAAGAAACTGCAGAGATTTTTCATCAGAGAAATGCAATTCTATTACCCTTGCATGCACCTTCCTTTCTCATTTTTCTATTAATGTACATCAAAGTTAGGTTTTCATTATTTTATTTCCTGTGAGGACTGTCTTTCCTCAGAAAATTGTTGGGATTCAGTTTGCTCATGTATGTATTATTTACCTGACCTCTGAGAGAAAAGAGAGCATAAGTTTATATTCATGCCAGGCATTAACTTAAGATGATAACAAACAGAAGTTTGTTTGTTGAGCACTCAGTTTGAACACAGAAGCTTACTACTTACTATGTATCAGTAGCAAGCTGGTATTGAGTTACTTTCACAGAATTATTTAGATTGGAAAAGACCTTTAAGACCAGCGAGTCCAACCATGACTTTTTTTACAATATTTTGCCACTGCTTAGTCACTGAAACAGTAAATATGAATCAAGTATTTTAAGTATGCTACTATCCCTTTGCCTCCAATCATACCAGGGTGTCAACTAGAAGGAGGTTTTGTTACTTGCTTCTTATTACTAAATATGATCCAAAGAGCTGAAAAGCAATATTCTCCAAATTCCCTTGCAGTTTGCAAACAAAAAGGAGAAAAAATACTTGGAAAGAACATAATTTATTTTCTTGCTTAAATTTCCCAAGATTTTTATTAGTGGAGCAATTGCAATCTTCTTGATTAAATATTGGAAGTAAATTTAGATTTT